GGGAAAGTCCTGGGAAAGAGCCCGGGTTTTACACCTCTGCATCCCACACAAATGTCACAGTCATTCCAAGAAGGGGATTCCACGGAGCACTTGTTTCCAGGACTCCCTGGCAAACTCATCTCCCCTTTCCCGTGACTCCGTCACCTGCCTCTTGTCCTTGTCAGTGCCGCCTGCCTGCTGAGGTTACTCGAGGCTCATTTCAAACTTCCTGGTCAGCCAGATCTTTCTGATTCCCTCCAAATCTACGGGTTTCACCTTTCTGCCTCAACTATCTGCGTTTTGGTATGTAAATTATTTTGTAAGTAGGTGGAGTTTTGAAAATATAATGCACCCGGGAAGACCTGCAGCCCCGTGGAGTCACGCACCACTCTTGGCAAATGATTCAAGACTCCTGGGGTGAGTCTCCTCCTCTGTAAGGCAGGCGGACAGGAGATGGGGGCAGAGAAAAGACCCCATCTCCAGGTGTCCTCAAGGCCAGGGGCACACAGCGGGCACCTGGCGAGAGACAGCTAATACCAGAGGAGCCTGTCTGCCCCGCGAACAGGACCTCCTCCTGGGCCCAGCACCTTCTTTCCCAGGGCCCCAGGGCCTGTCCTGCTGCCTTCCCTGCAGACCCACCTATGAGGCTGGGCTGGAAGAGCACCTCGGGGCAGAGGAAGTGCTCCTGCCTGAGGGTGATCTCCTGGCCATCGGGAAGCAGGAATTTGTTTTGGCAGGACAGCAGGTTGTCTTTGGACTTCTCCTTGTTGAAGTCCAAGGCCACATAGCAGCACTTCTCTTTTATGTCCCTGACGAACTCTGGATCCCCTACAGGACACAAAGGAAAAGCCCCAGCTAGAGGAGGCAAGAAAGCCGCTCACAGAAGCCCCTGCCGTGAGGAGGAGAGGCCCTGCCAGCTGCCCTCCATGTGCAGCCTGGACAGCAGGTCCTCTTGTCCATGGTGCAAGGCCCTGGGCCTGCCCTGAGAGGGAGGGGTTGCAAGATGTCAGCATTTTGTAGGTTGAGACCCTGCCATGTGTGGTGTGCTTTGAGGACTAGAAAATCTACCCACATTGATTATTTACTGCAGTAGGAGGTTCTGCAAGCCGCTCTGGAGGACCACGCACAGCTCATGGGCCCCTCATCTGGACACTCCTGCAAGGCGATGCCCACCCTTTTCCAGGCAGCTGGCAACAAATGTTAAACCAACCTAAACCTCTGAGGTGCAATCAGGTGTCCCCTCAGTGCTGCCTGGAAATCCCACCTGCTCTGCAGCCCGGGGACTTCCAGATCCCACCATCCAAACTGCTCCTGCCC